AAGAAAGTGGTACGGGAGGTCGAGGGAAACATAAAGGAAAAACTGTGCTGGTAAAACCAAATTTTGGGAAAAGAAATTAGTGCCTTAAGAGTGTCGCAAGTCTGCTTTAGAAGAAAATAAGCACTGTTATTACCACAAAGACGATAAGGAAAGCAAATAGTGATCATCACAACAGAAAGGGGTTCTCTTGATCTATCTTGAACTTCAAAAGCAATGGAGGATACTTTTAATGTTAGATTAGTTAAGCCATCTTTTCCTTTCTTCTAGCCAACAATACTTTTTGATGTTCACTACTAAGAAGTGGACTGAGACTATCCACTTCTTTTACAAAGGCTAGCAGCCAAGGAAAGGACTGCATTTGAAACAACGATCACAAAGTGAAAGGCTCCTTCTCCCATGACCTTTGAAATAAGAAGGTCACTCTCGGAGAAAAGAGGGTCTGTAGCTGTGTCTTGACCTCTTTACTGTGATTTGTCACAATGGGGACAACAGCCTTCATACCTTACACATTGATTTCAAGAGAAAGAAAAATGACATCTCATTGACTCTAAGATACGGCCAAACATAGTGTTGCTGTCCACATTTTTAAGGGATAAAAATTGCTCTCCAGACTGTTTCACATTCCACCGATGTGACTCAATAGAACAGTATGAGTTGGCCATCTGTTCTTGGCTAATAACAATATTATTTCCTTAGTGTTTATATACAGTTATATACAATAGCTTACTATTTGTATACAGTTATGTACAATAGCTATTTCTTTTTACCTTGACACTCCACTTAGGACTGCGCTTCGCCTCTTTTGAGGGTGTTAGCATGATACCAACCAAATATTAAAAAGTAAAATGTGAACGCCTGCACCTATTGAAGACCTGGGGATTTATTTAGTTTCCTTGAATTCAGTGAAATTCATGATACTTGCCCTAGCCAGTGATTTCCAAACTCTTTTCCCCTCTTCTCTTCGATCACCATTAGAACTTGTTTTTCAAGCCATGGCAATAACAGATACAAGAGCACTGCTCTAGTTGAGCAAGTTTAGAAAGAAGCACCTGTTCATCACTTCTCTTGCCAGCCACCAAGGCATCTCTGATATGAGCTAGGAAAGTTGCACTAGTAATTTATTGTCACAGAAGCACACTGCACAAGAAAAAGTCTTGCCATCATTATCTATAACAGCTCAGAGAATTTCTAAAGCAGTAGGGGGATCAAGACAGAATCCAGTGGCAATTTCTCATGTAAGGAAAAGGAAACTGATGGGCAGAGAGGATTTCTAGATCAAGGTTGTACTGTTAATTAGTTAAGTCCCTGACCTCCTATCTCCCAGTGAAATGATCTTTTGTTGTGGTGGTTCAAAGGTTACCAGGGCTTCCCTTTCTTTAGGGCTGTTTCTGGCTAGTTACTCCCTCTGAGTTCTGAGTCAGACAAAACACTGCTAAGATTTTGGAAAAATCCAGGCATACTAAGCCATGATTTCAATAAGGAAATAGCAGCTTTACTTCAATGAGAAAGGCCACAGAGAGCCAACTGAAGTCCACTTCTCTAGGCCACACATCTGTAACTCTCCATCCTCCAAAACCACACCTCAGAAAAGTCAGAATAACAAAAGTGCATCTGCTCCTTCTAGAGCAGAGCCTGGGCAAAACCCTCTACCCTCAGCCACAGCAGGTTAACCTTTCTCAGGTTAGTAGTTGATACATGGGGAAGTAAAAGGTACCTGATGCTAGAATAATAAAACAAGAACAAGTGTCTCATTTCTTGGTGGGAAAAACAGGGTATTGACATATATTCTCATAACCTGGAGATAGCAAGGTTGTATTTCTCAAGACGAGGTAGTCAGAAAAGTGGAGAGAGAAGAGGATGACTCTAAGACAGACTACTGACTTCGTTTATTTATTTCTTTATTTCTTTTTTTTCTAACACAGTTCTTATTCCTGCTGTAGTCTGTGGGCATTTACTTTGCTTACTAATGATATCCCCAGCCCTGCTTTGTATAAATGAATGTGTACTTGTTACTTGTTAGCCATTCTCAAAACAATGAGTATTTGGGTAGAACGAAGCTTTCTGAACTTCAGGAATTGATGCTCAATTATCTGTCACTAAAATACTCAAAAGTTCTAAGAAAAGTTGTAAAATAATTGTGTGCATATGCACTTGGGTGTTAGGCTCAAAACACAAGAAGAAAGGGCAAGAAAACTTAGATCATTTTTCGTGGCAAAAATATGTTCCCATGGTTCCCAACCCTTTGGGCGTTAAGTGACTAAAGAAGTAGTTTCCTTTACAATCTTATTTCACGTAAAAAAATTTAGTAGTGACACCCCCCCCAAATTATCATTGTTAACCACCAGATATATTCTTTAATAAGAATTCATAGGTACTCTTCATGCATGCAGCAGGAATGGGCACTCCTTCTTAAGATTTAAGAAAACATGAAAACCACAAAGAATGTTTGAAATTATTTTCTCTTGGTTGGTGGAACAGATGCCTTTCATCAAGGAAAATGCCTTTGGCCAAAACAAAGCCATATTCATTCAAAATATATTGTTTAGTAATTGCACAGACTCTGGATTATATAAAATTTACTTTCAATGGAAGGATTTCATTTTTCAAGAAAAGGTTAGCTAGCAGGAAGACAGGCAGAGAATAAAGTGTTAAAAGAATCAACTATGCCAAGGGCAAGAACAGTTCAAGAAATGACAATGCAAGTGCATTGAAAGGAAATTGGCCAATGTGGATGTGATTTTGTCTAGGGGTCATTCAGGAACACCTGGTTGACTTTATTTATAAACTGATTGTCAAATCAATCTGTAGAATATGGATGAGGTGAAAGGCAGAGATAGAGTATTATTCTAGATCATCTGTAACTTTTCAAATACAACCATCGCGCTGAAATTCCAGGGAGAATATAAGTGACTCCAATAAAGAAACCTGTCAGTCAGTCAAGAGTGTTTATTTATTATCCCCTATGCCAGCCAGTATTCCAGCCAATATGAAATGATACAAAATAAAAAGTAGTCATCACCTTTCCAGTCTCCTGAGAGCAAATGGATTACATTTGCAGACACACACACACACACACACACACACACACACACACACACGCACACACCCCATCTATGTGGGTGGTCAGGAAACTCAACTCTATGGGCATGTAACAACTTCATTTAGAAAAATGCTGATTTGAAAACTAAACATAAAATTAGAAAAACTGGAGAATAATAAATTCTATTATTAATAGATAACAATGGATTTATAAGGCATGTCTTTTATTTAAGTCCCATTATGTTATTAAAGTTGGGAATAATCCTTTCACCCTCACAAATTTACAAAGTATTTTTGGAATATATTATGCAACTATGGAGTCACACTGGTGTTGAAGAGCTGCTAACTTCAATAAAATACCATTCTTGAATAAAAAAAACCTTGTGTCCATTAAACTGTAAATTCCTTGTAGTCAGAGATCAGGTCTTATTTGCCTTTAATATATAGTTAGTACTCCGTAGATAGAAGTAGTAAAGGAATAAGAATAAATGAATGAGACAGGTGGGTGAAATTTTCAATTAATGAGACAGATGGGTGAAGCTTTCAAAAGAGAAAAAACAAGAGGACTAGGATATTCCAAGCAGAAAGGTCTGGTTGGTTGTTTCCAGTCGGGTTTCTGAGTATAGAAACAGGGCTTCGCATTTTCATCACCACTGAGGAAGGATCAGCTCCTGGTTTGGTCCATTAAGAATATGTCGTTGCCCAAATGCTACTCCTTACTTTTAGGGACATTGCAATTTTGGTTTTCTGTTCCAGCCCAAGTGTCCTTGATGGTGGAATTGTTTGCATCGACTTTTTATTCCACAAGAAGTTGGGTGATACTGCTGATTTGCCTGCCATGGCACTTGCTTGATATATGCTGTTTTCATTTTGATTATTACTCAAAATAGCTTCATTTTAAAATTCCATTTTCTGACTCTCTGCTTCTGCCTTCGACACATCACTGTGATTTTCTGCTTCTCCACAAAGAAAGCATGTTGGATCCTGTCACAGACACATTTAGCACACATGGAACCACCATAAGCCCTGCTTGGCCTGTTCGTTTCATTTCAGACTACCTCATAAGATAGGTCTCAAAGCACCAGCCTCTCTCTCAAACTCAGCCTGAACACAGACCACATACAGATTTCGGCTCTTTCTCAAAGTTTTTGGTGTATTAAATGTAAACAATTCTATCACTAGGGGTTCAGGGCAGGCTAGTTGTGTTAGAGACTGCACTGCAGGAAACTCCAAGGCTGCAGGATCATTCTGAGTCCCCTAGACACCATTCTCAGAAGAGCTTGCTGTTGGCTTAACGCTGCCCAACTACCATGTCTGCTTCAGGAGGGCAGGGACTTTTGTCTGTTTTCACTGCTGTGGCTCCAACCTCTAAACAGTGCCCGATAGAGTAAGCATTCAATAAATACAGTACTTGTTAAATGAGTGTTATTATTTTGGCTGCCTTTGCTTTTGCTTTGTCCATCCTGCTTTAGGGAGCTGGAAATTGAGGAAAACCTTTGAATTCTTTTCCTTCTCTTTTTCTGTTCTGAAACTCTGGTCAAGGGTTCTAGCAAAGACCTTAGGGAGTGGGGAATCCCCCCTGGAAGTTAATGACAAGTCAGGCGACAGGGGGCGGGAGAAAGAGAGTTGCAGGAAGTTCTTTACCACTTCTTGCTTCTGCAGCACCCATCACCACCAACCCTGCTCTGTATTTGGGGTTAGGGGTGTTCCGTGGAAAGGAAAGCCGGGGCCGCCTCGGCCGCATTCCTCGCTTGGGCCATCGGGGTCTTCCCAAAGCGAGCCCCGCAGCACCCCCTGTCTGCGCAGCACCTGTTGACAGCCAGTGGGCGGCCAAGCCCGTTCCCGCAGACGCCGCCCGGGGCTGCCCCTCCCCGAGGCGCCGACCCCCGCCCGCCCCCTCGGCCCTCCGCGGGAGAGCCGCTGAGCCTCCCCCGCTCCCCCGCCGCGCGCTCCGCCCGGGCTCGGCCCACGGCGCCCACCTCCCGTTTGCCGCCCGGCGGGGTGAAGGTAGAGAAGGGGAGGTCACAAGCCGGATCCTCCGGGCGGTCACGGGCCTTCCCTCTTCACCCCGTGCAGAGACGCCGCGCCGCGCCCCGCGGTTAGCGCGGAGCCCGGGGCGTGGGGGAGGGGACGGGGAACGACCGGAGCCCCGCGGTGACCCCGAGTGGCCGAATTGCCCCAGGCTTTGAGGAGCGGGGGACGCGCCCGAACAAGGTGAACTTTGGTCACGGAAAACTCAAGCCCGGTACTGGAATCCGGAGCCCACTGCGCGCCGGGCTGGGGAGCGGGAGCCCCGCGGCCTCCCTCCGCCCGCGCCCCGGCCTCCCTCCGCCCGGAGCCCCCCCGCGGCCCCGCTCCGGCGCCCCGGCCCTTGGGACCCGCCGCGGCGCCCCCGCCTGGTTTCTCCCCCCTCCCCCTCCGGGGATAGGGGGTGGGGCGGAGGAGAGGGGCGCATCTATTGGCAGCTTTGTTATTGATCAGAAACTGCTCGCCGCGGACTTGGCTTCCAGTCTGGCTGCGCGCGACCCTTGAGTTTTCGCCTCTGTCCCGTCCCCCGAACTGACAGGTGCTCCCAGCTACTTGCTGGTGACTCCTCGCTGCTCCCCCGCGTCCCCACCCCCTCATTCCTCCCTCGCCTTCACCCCCACCCCCACCACTTCGCCACAGCTCAGGATTTGTTTAAACCTTGGGAAACTGGTTCAGGTCCAGGTTTTGCTTTGATCCTTTTCAAAAACTGGAGACACAGAAGAGGGCTCTAGGAAAAAGTTTTGGATGGGATTATGTGGAAACTACCCTGCGATTCTCTGCTGCCAGAGCAGGCTCGGCGCTTCCACCCCAGTGCAGCCTTCCCCTGGCGGCGGTGAGAGAGACTCGGGAGTCGCTGCTGCCCAAGTGCCCGCCGTGAGTGAGCTCTCGCCCCGGTCAGCCAAATGCTCCTCCTCGGGCTTCTCCTGCTGATATCTGCCCTGGTCGGCCAGAGACTGGGGACTCAGGCGGAATCCAGCCTGAGCAGTAAATTCCAGTTCTCCAGCAACAAGGAACAGAACGGTGAGTCTTTCCCCCCTTCTCCCCGGCTCGTTTCTCGCTGTGTGCGTGAACGTTGGCATTGTGCGTTGGTGTGTGATGTACACTAGACTGCGAAGCTGTCTTTGGTCTCTCCACGTAAATGCGCGCTGCGTTCGTCGGCATGGACTGTGGAAGGGTGAGTGTAGTTTGCAACTTCGGGAGCTGCCACAAAGCTCCAAGAGGGCAACGTGAGTGCCACTGCAGCCTCAGTTGGAGTGAGGACATTCTGGGAGCGATTGTGAACGTCAGTTCAAATGCACATTGCAGGTTCGCTCATTGGCAGAGTTAGAAGTTCAAGAACTGCCTCTAAAAACGAATCCAAAATGAATGAGTCTTGGCATGTTAGACTTTACTCAGATTTGGGGAGGGTGAGGGCGGGTCGGTCAGGAAATGCATCAGCCGCATTAATTGAAGCACTCTAGGTCGAAGTCATCAATTAATCAATAGGTATAGGAAATATAGAGGTCAAGAGACTATATGGTCGTTTTTAGAGGAATTAAAAAATGTGTTTCTCTTGCGTCCTCTCTCTCTCTCTCTCTCTCTCTCTCTCTCTCTCTCTATATATATATATATATATATATACATATACATATTTCTTTTAAACTTGCCTTTGTACTCAAGTCCTTACTGTTCTGGTGGTGTGTTTTTGTATGTGTTAGTGAATGACTGCTATTTTGTTTGTGCTGGAAACGACTTAATCCTGCATAGGAAATGAGAATTACTTTCAGCTTTCAAGTGTACCTGAAATGTTTGGAAAACTCTCAGATGCAAGTTCCCTTGGGCTGGGATTGCACAGAGCTGGAGAAAGGCTCCTTTCATAAAGCCAGGGCAGCTTCAGGGTGTGTAATTTGCTTAGCCTCTGAACCCATATGATTTACATCATTCAATTTCTAAACTCTTTTTATCTTCATCTACCATTATGAAGTCATTTTTGAGAATACTTTGTAAATAGAAATTTTATACTGCACATGAAACCACAATGTTAATGTAGGCTGTCTAAAATTGGAATATTTAACACCCTGTTTACAAGTGATGGCTCTTACTGTTGGTTTGAAAAGGAATATACATGTTTTTACTGCTTTGTGTATCATCTATTCAGAATGCAAGGATTCTGTCACTTCATTAACCATGCCAAATGAACAGAAGTGGCATACCTACAAAATCCGAATGGGGTGTCCTATAGTTTTAAGTCACAGAGATTTTTTTTCCTTTTCATATTGGCACGTTTTGAGGCTTCAACTTTGAGTTTAAACTCTAAGTGTTCATGTTTAAGAAAGCACAGAAAGTTCTAGGGTATGAAAATAGATAAAATATTCTGGGGACTTTTGCAGACAGTATTTGTATTTGTTGCGCAGCAAGACACAATATCACATTTATCTGCCAATATTAGTGTGGTGCTTCTTACAACTTGCTAACACGATGGCACATGGCACCTGCAGACTCCTGGAGCTGCTGATCAAAGGGCAGCCTAGGAATCTATCTCTAATCACAGGAGCTACAGAGGACTGAGGGAAAGCGATCAAAGGAGCCACAGTGCCAGCTGTACCCGTGCAGGAAACAGATGAGACTAATCTTTGTTCTTTCTCATGTAAAATAAATGTCCCGTTCAAAATACTGTTTCTTACTAGACAAGCTCCTCCATAATGACAGCAATGCACAGTATTCCTGGCTTCCTGGCTTCTGCTTTTTATTGTTCCTGTCTCATATCATTTCTCCTATTGCCTTGTCTTATCAAGCCTATCTTGGCATCTCCCCGAATCTCTTTGCTAACCTATGCTTCTCTTGGTCCTTTCCGTGTAGTTCTCTCTGGGTTCCACATGCTATCATCACTTTGTAAGGGGCCGAGAGCTGTCATGTAGCGTGTGGTCATGGGCCACTTTACCCAAGTAGGTTCACTCAGGAGAGATGAGTTCATTAAGCCAGGCCACACATACTCGGTTGCCATCTGAGGCTGGGCCATTTCCATTCCTAAGATGCATGATGCTAAAAATAGCTACTTGTTTCCTAGTCTGTGGGCAGAGGATTGGCCTATGTTTGGTGGATGGTCTGGGTTAAGGATGGCAGCAGGAAGTAACTAGACGTAGAGGAACTACTCACTTTGTAGTTTTTAGCCCAAGGAAAAGTGGCACTGGCCAGCACTAGGGGGCAATATAGAGCTATTTTCCTGCACATGCTCAGGTTGATTTTTATACATCAGAGTTTCAAGATTTGAGGATAACAGGTGGGCGCTAACGAAGATTCCCCTGGAATGTAACCAGATTTGCTAGAGCTACTACTGTTACCATTACTACGACTGCTGCTTCCTTTTTTTGACTTTCAAATTTTCCATTATGTGGGTAATTTTTTGCTCTTATACTGAATTATGATTGATTGCTGATTGCCCTACTGCTGTCTCAATTTTGACAGTTGTACAATCCTGTAAATAGCAACCCTCCTTTAGGAAACCACGTAGAAAATCCCATTGGCCCAGATCCCATTCGCCCAGTTCATGCATTGCGTCATTTTATGAAAAGTCTTCTAAGTGCTATGAAATGTCCAAATTGATGTATTATGACTCTAGGAGCTCATTCCTGTCTCCAAGAACCCCTCCTCATGATACTCTATTTTCTTGAGTATGCTAAAGTCTCCAGTGGTGTTTGCTCAATCAGGTCTCTCACACTGTTCAGTTTTAATATCAACTTGTTGTCCTAAGAGGAGGTAGAATTGGAAATTGATTGCTATAGCCAATGCTGCATACATGGATTTAGGCTGGATCATGTGGACGTGGTTCAAAATTAGTTTTGAAGGGTTAGTATCATTTACACTATTGTTAGGTATCTGGGTTTTTGACCTACCATTGGATGGCAATTCTTGCCACTTTTACTGTACAGTTTCATCCTCTAGTATTATAAGTTGACTTCATATACTGTACTTAATTTTTAACTTTACTTCTGACCCTGTCTCACATATGAAAACAAGAGGCTTCAGATTTAACTTGATGAAAGATATAAAATGTAACATTGACTTGCTTGGAGGGTGTCTGGCCTGTATACTTGCTATGTGTCCATGGTGAATAATATTCATATTTTGTGCACACTGGTTTTAGATGAGAATGCCTATTGTGGAATGATTAAGTTCTGGGATGGTGCGTCTGAATTGTAGCAGAAGGAATCATACATATTCAGAAACAAAACAGAACTTATTTGTCTGTTGCCGGCAGCGCAAAGAGATGTCAGTGACAAAGTTGTTGGTGGAGGAATGGCTCTTGTACTTGTGTTGTTGGTGAGGGATTTTAGTTTACTCTTAGATCAGGTGCATGCATCTTATTTTTTCTCATTTTCTTTAACTATTCTGAATTTAGATTTGGAATATGACGCGATTTGCTAGGAATGGCCTTATAAACATCAGTTATTGTATGTGTTCTTTTTCTCAGGGGCTTTTGTGGCATGCGGAACAATTGACTTTGGTCTACTGGTAATGCCCTTTTGCCTGTATTTTGCATTCATGGATTTTCCGACTCTTTTTATCAGTGCCAGCTTTCTCTTCCTACTGCCAATGCGCCTGTATCTAACAAAATGTGAATTAAAAATGGGAAATTAAAAAATGTGTCCAGTTTCCTCACCACCATTTTTAGGTGGCAGCTTCAAATCTCAATTTTATAAAAAACAGGTAACCACAATATTTAGAACAGCGTCTAAGAGCAAATAGGCTCCAACTGCAGACCAAAGGGACTTTCCTGTAAATTTCCCTATAAGTTTGATTGCGTGAACTTTGTGACATTTATTTTTGTTGTTTAAAGGCTTTTTTACCAAAAACAGAAAAAAAACTTCCTTCTGGTTCTCTGCTGTTTGAGACAGTTGAGGAAGTTGAATGAGTAGAATGCCATTGTGTAATGATGAATTTTGTCTTTTCACAGTAGGCGATTAAAAAGCCCTATTATATGGTCATTGTTCTTCCATATCAACTGTAATCACAGATATTGGATAAATGATATACTTTGCTTTTACCACTAAAAGGTGTTTAAAAAGTGCAAAGGTTTGTAGGAAGCCTCAAGAATGAATGTATCATTTGTTAAATAATTGTAAATAGAGGATGGGATTCAACGCTAAACTCTTCCCAGTGCTACCATCTCTTCTATGAGATCTAGCTCTGTCTCAGGCACTGAAATCTTAGCTTTGTCTACTCTTATTTCGCCCTTCCTGAAAGTTATTTCTTAAATATCTTCTGTGTATTAGCTTCTACTTCATGTTTGTTTTCAACCTTTAGACTGGTAAGATTCTAAGTTTTATCTATAAACTTTTGCACCTTCGGGAGAAAAAAAAATTCTAATGATAAGGTGATATGTTAAATAAGTAGTAATGAATCAAGACCTTCATAATGTTCATAGGGAAAAAAAAAAGTTTTCAAGACTGATGAAATTTTTCCTGTAGGTTTCTCTGTTTGTATCAACCAAAATGGTAGAAGTCATAAAGTTCCTTCGTTTACTTACTCCGACTTTTCTATGTAACTCTGTGTAATCTCTATATAACTTATTTATTAAGCAATCTCTGTTGCTTCTTGGCCTTTTAGTTGAGATTAGCTGTAAACAATCTGTATGTTGTGTTATTTTTCACCACTACTGCCTCTAGCTATGATTTTATTTTCCAAATCTCCCTTTATTTTGTATTACCTAAGGAGACATCTAATGTTTGATAATTATTTAGTATGCACCAGTGTTAATTACCATACTGATTACCAAAATGTTGAAATGTTGAAATATTTCCAGTGAGTTGGGAAGGGACTAGCGCATCTCCTCTAAGACAAATGGACCAACGATGTGAAGCGGAAACTTCAGTGCCGGATACTGCTCAAGGCCTGATACTGCTCAAGGCCTCTAAGATACTTCTGTAACCCTGTTGGCCTGTGTCGGGATCGATCAATGTTCCTGCCATACTGATTGTTAAGCCTTTTGACACTTTGAGCTGTGGACAGTTTGGTTCACATTGGGGTTAAACTTCTATCTT